CAGCAGCACCGCAACCAGCGCCACAGGCACTCGAAGATGGTGGGGGAGGGGCCCCCAAGACCACTGACTGGTGAGGGAGGCCGTCAACGAAGGAAACACCAGCAGATGAAGGTGAACCAAAAAGGGGGGGCCCCTGAGATGCAGCTAGCGAGACATGGGCCCTTAAAGGGGGGGCCCCACGAGACGGGCTCCCAAGAGAAGGGGCCCCTCGAGAGGGGCTTCCAAAGGAAGTTGCCCGACGAGGGGAGTCCCCAGGTGAAGGGCCCCCAAGAGAAGGGGACCCAGGGGACGGGGCAAAAGGAAAAGGGGCCCCAGGAGAGGGGGCCTCAGGTAAGTTGGGCTCAGGGGAAGATGCTCGAGAGGGGATTACAGCTAATACAGGGGTGGGGATTTCGTGAGAAGGGGACTGTCGGAGACCCGCTGCGGGAGGTGCTGTCGTTGAAGGAAGAGGGGCCCCCTGGGGCTGCTGGCTGCGTTGGGGGTCTGTGGTGTCGTTTGGCTGCGCTCCCATCTCCCTCGGTCTCTGGTGCGAGTTGAGACGCAGGAGAAGACAGGGGGAGACAGCAGGAGGCAGGAGGGGACAGGAGAAAAGAGCAAGAGACAGGAAGAGAGAATCTGAGTTCGTGTATAACACAAGTAGACCCGCCGCTGGGCTCCGGAGCGGTGAGAGAGGGCAACGTAGAGAGGCCGTCAAGCTGGTGTTTTATTACGGTGACATCTATGAAACAAAAGAATAATATGAGTTGTTGTAATGTTTATAATAACAAAATAATAAAATTTCATAGAAAAGAAGCGGCGAACCATCAGCAGCAGTCGCAGGTGCTCATACACCCGAACCACCGCAGCAGCGTGTGTGACCGATGGTCACCTGCGGTCTCTGAGGGCGCTGTTGTCACCTCTTTACCAGCCCTTTTCTTGAAATATATTAACAAATAACAATTTTAATCTAATATAATCCCATCTGCTGCAGTCCTGATGATAAAAAGGATTAAATAAATAATAAACTCCCCTCTTACATCTCCCCCAGCCCCATTCGCCCTTCTGTAGCACTATGGAGAGTTGTGAAGGGGAGAGATACGGGAGACACAAAACGCCAGAGTATTAACAAGAATAAACTTCCTCAGGAAGAGACAGTATAGAGGCCCACCGAGGGGCCGCCCTCATCTACCTCTCGCTCACCCCGGCTTGCCTCTCCCAGGGGGCGCCCAGGGGCGTCTGTCTCCTCCGTTTGCGGGCTCTCCCGTTGCTGTGTCAGTAACCAATACGCCCCGCGCAGGGGCCTCAGGGGGCCCCCAATGAACTAAGACCTCGCGCATACGACTGAAGGCAGGCTCGGCTCTGTCTACACACGCAACCACTGCTGTCTTAACTAAGAGATGTATGTCTGTCTCTCCCATTAACGTGTGTTTGTTTCTCTTCTCATCTATACACCATCACCACACTACTGATATGTGTGTGTCTGTCTCCTCGCGTCTACGCAAGACCAAAGCTCTACTAATGCAGAGACAGCTGGAAACAATGCGAGCAAGAAACAAAGAGACAACGAAGAAATTCACAGGCATATAAGATGGAGCTCATCCCACAGACATAGAAATAGAATCGGAGACAGAGATGGAGACAGAGACGGAGGCAGAGGTAGATGAAGACAGAAGCGGTGGCAGGAACGGCATCTCTCTCAGAAGCAGACAAAAAGAGAAAAAGCAGCTACAGAGAAGGAAACAGAAACGTAGACAAAGAAAGAAACAGAAGAAAGAGACAGCGACAAAAACAGACACAAAAGAGACAGAGACAGCAATAGAAGCATAAGCAGAGACAGAGCTGTATGCCTTTTTAAGTTGCCCGCTGAATCGGGTAAAAGCAATATGTCAACACCACCGCCCCCAAAAAAACGTAGAAAGAGAGAGCTAAAAAAAGAGAGTTGAGGAGACTGCAAGGGTTGTTGTTGTTTGGTCGTTATAAAAGAGGGTTTACTAGGGTTGTTGCTATTGCTTGGAGTTTCGTTAAACCATCAACATCCTCAGAGTTGTTAATATTATTATTATTATTATTAACTCTGAATATAATAATAATTA